TCCAAGATTTCTTACCTCTTTGTTTATGCTTACAGCTGTATAATGCCTCTTAACTATAGGGATTCTTGCTTTCTATGCAAAGAACAGCCTGTCTGTTCCTCGTCTCCAAGCCTCCTGCCATCCTTTCGGGTTCAGGCTCATCTTAATCTGATTTTGATTTGGACAGACTTAAAAATCTTAAAATATATACTGTAAGTGATTTTGGATCTTAATTTCTCCTCCCAGCTTTTTCCACAACCACATCATTCTTCATTATGACAGGTCTTCCCGTCTTCTGCTTTGTTCTCCAAAGTGCCTCATAAATAATTAACTACATGTAATAACAGAAGTAAATACACTCAAACAATGAATACCTTTGAGGTGTACTGGAAGATGTCAGCAATAATCCGCATCGATGGTTCAGGGGGGAATATATATGTATTTCGGACCATGAACTCCTTCAAGATGTCATTTTGGATTGTCCCTGTCAGCTTCGCCTGAGGCACTCCCTGTTCTTCTCCAGTTACAATGAACGTAGCCAACACGGGAATGACTGCCCCGTTCATTGTCATAGAAACGGACATTTTCTCTAGAGGAATTCCATCAAAAAGGATTTTGGTGTCTTCCACTGTATCAATGGCAACTCCAGCCATCCCAACATCTCCTCGAACTCGTGGATTGTCTGAATCGTAACCACGGTGGGTGGCTAAATCGAAAGCAACAGATAATCCCTGCTGGCCAGCTAAACGAAAAAGAAAAATAAAACAAACCAACAAAGAGAGAGATTCAGAAGTGCTGAACAGACTTGCATTAGAACTGGATCTAAATTTATTAATGTTATTTCACATGATCCGGGCTTGGACAATACACCAATTTTTGTTGTTAACGCTGTCCCCTCCCTAAACTTGTCCAAGGTCTTCCAGTCTTAAAATTTAAATGAAAAAGCTTTTAACTGAGAAGAAAAAATATTGTAGTTCTTTTAGCTCAGCCACACAATCAGCTTATTGTGCTTAACAAATTACCGAGTAACAGTTTAGCCTCAAGTTATAAATGTGCATAGACAGACAGTATCAGGGCTTGTATACAGAATTCTACTTAGCTTAGATGGAAACAAAACTGTGATAAACTATGTCACACTACCTTCTTACTGCAAAATAAACACACGCACAGTTTGTTACCCTGGTTCTAGTGACATACCTTGTTTATTTGTGAAGGAAAGTGAGTCATTACTAAATCTGCAGTAGAAGAAAATTATCCACATGAAGAAAGGAATGGGACAGTTAGAGCTCTAGGCAGACTTGTTGCTGCAACCTGAAAGCAGTAGCTGAAACTCTGCTACCCCCAGGCATTCACTCCCTGACCAGCACTGCTGTTCTCCATCTACTGCGTTTGCAAATCCACTTCCCAAACCCAGCAGAGAGCCCTTGTCAGATACCAGCTATTTATTGTCTCTGGCCTAAAAAGCTAGGTGTTTACTCTGAAGCACAATGACAAAAAATTAAATTTCTGTCTAGTTTCAAGCAACAAAGATTTCAGCAATTATGACAACTGGTAATTAATTCTTTTTCAGAATTCCTCCAATTACAGAGATTTTAATTGAATTATTATAAATGCTTTACAAATTACTAGGTCAGATTCAGCATCTATGTTAAATAATTCAATATTAATACAACCATTAACAGAACAAGATAGAACTACAATATCACAATGTCAAAATTTGGTTAAAGATGAACAATCTCTGGCAGCAAACGTTCTTGAGTAACAGCTCACCCAACTGTTAGTACTTCTGCTTCAGCAGCAACATTCAGCAGTAAGAGTATTATACATTTAGAAAAATCTTTCTGCTGAAATGTTTGTTTGCAAATCTCTAATACCCTGTCTTTGTAATTTCTTAATTTCCTGACAGTCTTATAAATGGAAAGAATCAAAAATACTTGTAAGGATACTGCAGCAGCTAATATTGCTTCATATTAGCTAACCATAGTAACGCAAGAGGTAAAAATCTCCAAACTTCTCCCCCAACCATAAACAGTTACGTTTTGAGTGGGAGGGACTGTACAATGGGAAAGAAAAATGTCACAGATTTATTACTCAGAAGTCAACATTCAGTGGTCTGTTGTTTTGACTGGTAAGGTTATAATTAATTGCTAAGATCTATGACTGGTATAAAACTATCGCTTCGGTCTATCAAGAACAACTTTTTAGTCGTGGTTTTACAATGCCTAACTCAATAGTATATTATGATGAAGCTCTGTCTATTAGTTAAATAAATTGCTGCAAAGCACAATACTCTGCAGAACTACTGGGAAAACTGCTCTCAAATAAGGAAAATACCAACACTTTCAGGAAGCTGGCTTTACTGATACACAATGAATGACACTATTAATATGTACTTATGAGTTCATTTAAAATTTAAAATATGAGATGGAAGCCCAAAATGTCAGAATGCACTAACATCAGACGTTTAGTTAAGTGACTAAGTTCATAATTTTTTTCCACTAAAATCTTCTTTCACAGTCACAAATGAGTGTAAAGTGCTCCATGATCTCTGCTGGTTGGACCCTGGGATGCAGCCAAACAATGTCTAACTGTTAAAGCAGAATAATTAAAAATAACATTTCACACATAAATTTTTCCATCTCAACAGCAAAATAAAGCACCAGCAGTTTCAGAAATGATCCAGTTTCCCAATAATAGACATACAGCGCCACTGGGAAGATCTTATCAGAAACCAAAACTCACAAGGTTGAATAACTACATTTGCCATGTAATTCACCATATGAATGCTCCCCATTGCTTTACAAGGCAACGTTGTTTCCCAAACCAGCTGTCTCACCTTTAATGTTGTCCTTGTAGAACTTATTGCTCTCCTCCACTGTACTGAAGCCAGCATACTGGCGGATAGTCCATGGCCTGTATGTGTACATGGTTGGGTAGGGTCCTCGAGTGAAAGGTTTTACCCCTGGCAGCTCCTCAGGGAGATCTTTCGTGTCCCTTTTGGAGTATAAGGGCTTGATGTCGATCCCCTCTGGGGTGTGCCAAATTAAATCCTTTGGGTTCTTGCCTTTCAGCTGCTTTTCAGCAAGGGCAGCCCACTCAGGGTGCAGTGGCTGACTGTGCAGTGAACGCCACGCGAGCTGGCAGGCTGGAAGTTGTGCCAGGCATGTGCAGCGGTGGGGCCGCAGGCGCAGGAGAGCATCTTTGGCTCTCAGCATGTCTGCCCCTCTGGTTGGCAAGTACAGGGTAAACTGCAGAAAAAAAAGATGTATTTTGCATTATCATATAAATCTGACACGGGAGAGGTAAGCACGGTGAGGTCAAGCAGTTTCCTAAAGCAAAAACAATTACTCAGGAAAAAACAAAGTATATTTATTCACTTACTCATTTGACAGACATGCCCTCCCGTGGCCTTTCAACCAGAAAATGCATAAAAAGGTTCAGGAAAAATTCTACATTTTCCTCTAGCTGAGGAAAACTTTCCTACAATTAATCTATACCCACATATGAAATGTGTAACTTATTTCAGTCCCTAAGTAGCACCATTAATCAGTCACTGGAAGTGTCAGGAATGGAGATGGTAGCTACCTTCTCACCTTCCCACCTCTCTCTCTCATCTATGAATTCCTTAACATCAAAGAGAGACCCGAAACACCAGAGAGGCACTCTGGAGAAAGAGGATTGTCAGAAAATTGCTGACATATCATACACTTTGGAAAAGGTGCCTTGGGCTGGATGAAAATCACAGAATCACCTAGGTAGTCCAACCATTAAACTGAGTGTTGAAATCAGAGCTATACTAAGAAAGAAAGGAATAAAAAAAATGTGATATGCAAGAACACAGGGATAATACAAGTTGCAGCACTCATCTCACCACGCATGAGAC